CCTCAAGCAAGAAGAGGTCGATGGCTTCTCCCTGGAAAGCTTGCTGCGGGGAGCCAAGGTGTACATCCCGCCGCCGCCCCCAAAACCTGAACCGGTAAGGGACTCCGATCGTGTCAATTCGCCTTCTTCAACTAATAACTTTATCGCAGTCCGATGAGTACAAGGCCCTCATGGCCCGCCTACGACGCGAAGAGGAAGAGCGAACCTACCAGCGCATGTTGAAGCAGCCCTCCCGAATGGAGGCCTTCTCGCAGCAATTCCCGAACGCCTCTTCCAGAGCACACGTCTTCGCCGAGGTCAACCGGCCGATGCGCGAATCCGACAACGGCGACGACGAAGTTACATTCGGTGATGTTCAAAAGCAGGTCATGGTCATTCTCAACTTCCTTCTGAGCGTCGTCGGCGTAGGTGCGACAATCTGGATCGCGGCTCGCTGGTGGAGCCTCACGTCTCGCATTTTCTTGACTATGGGTGGATGCATCGTGGTGTTGATCGCTGAGGTCGCCGTGTACTCTGGCTATGTCTGGAGAATGACAGAGGCCAAGGCGAGTCGGAAGGAGCCCAAAGAAATCAGGGAGGTGATGCAAACATGGGTCGTGGGCCAAGACGTAAAGACAAGCGATGGGGACACGGTGTTGCTCGACACGAAGATGCAAGATACGGACGAGGGTATACGACGACGACTGAAGGGCTCGACATAGCCGTCTATTCATATCGAATCATTAAGAGTTCTATGGCAGCGAGAAGATGCGCATGTACGTGCGTGTGGCGGTCATCCAATCGTGCCCTGCCGCAAGCTTCTGACTGAGCAGCCTGCCCCTTGGCTTTGGGATCAGTACCAATCATCCAGATGGCCGTAACCAGCATATCCATACCATGCAATGATGTTGGTTACTCGTCTCGACTGCTGAATGTAAGTCAGAAAAGCAAGCCAAGTTCACGTTATGTCACGGAGCAGCCCGGCCGTCTGGGCCAACAAACTCGGCGCCGATTCACATGTCCGGTTGTAACCCGACAAGCGGGGCCACACGAAAAGCACAAGATCTCGCCGATTAGCAACCCCTGCACTTTGACATTTGCCCATTAAACTCAATCCATGTCATATTCCAATATCGCAAGCGTTTGGGCGCGAATGCAGGCGCCACACGTGACGTTGGTGGGTGGAAAACGTGACTCGACGCGGTCGATGCACGTCATTCCTGCCGCGACGCGCTTCGGTGGGGCCCCGAAAGCTCTCGATCGATCCGCCATCGCCCTGCGAGGCAAAGACAAGACACCACCACAGCATCGACCTTGATACCCGTTTGTCTCTATTTATTGCTTCTGTGTTGGCGTATTGTCAGTTTTATGATCGCACTCATACCCTCGACATATCGGCATGCTCTTCTAATCTTTCAACAACATCTGCGGGCGTGTTTCGTCTACAATAACACGGCCCACGCGCGTCGCGTCGCATTCTACCAAATCTCAATTTCCACCCGCCCCGACAGAGCCCTCAAGGTTTTCATCCGAACAATGGAACAGTCTCGGGAGATTGAAGTCTCCTCAATCTCACGCGATATTTCTCGTCCAACGACCGACAAACGGTACGAAATCTCCCCACACTCTAACGCGCATTGCTCGCTAATACCGTTCAGACGCACCTTGCGAACATACAGCAAGAGGTCGCGAGTAACTGAAGACGAGCCAACCTCGAAGCCGGCCAAGAAACAAAAGATCGTCATCGAAGACGCCCTCGCGAAACAACCAGAGCTTCCTCGTATCCCACCTCCGCTACCGGCACACACGAGCAATATTCCCAAGAGCTCCATCCTCAGCTACTTCAAGCCCTGCCGCTCTAGCTCTGCAACGGAACCCTCAGATCCCTCAGATCCTCTGTCCGACTCGGAAAAGCTAATCGACACGCCCCCTTCATCACCGCCGATTGTTAGAAGGATACGAGAGCCAAGGAGACTGCGCCTGCGACACAGTCTGCCTTCTCCAGATGGCGACGATGCGGAGGCCGACAAGCTGGACAGGGGCAAAAACGAAGAGACGGCGACACGGGTCACGCGATCAAGTCGACGAGAAGGAAAGCAACTGCAGGAGGCGAAGGAAAGCAAGTTGAACGAACAGAAGGAGAGTCCCAAGCCGAAGTCGAAAGCCGCGACAGCCAAACCAAAGGCAAAGTCGAAGCCGGTTGCGACGATACAGACAACCATCAACATCTCGTCAAAGCCCACGTTTGAGGAGTGCAAGGTATGCCGGATGGTGTACAACCCACTGCACCCCCCTGATGTCAAGTTTCACATGCAAACGCATGCTGCACATCTTCGCAAAAAGGCGAAGGCGAGGGCATAGGCAACTACGTGGACGAAGTTGGGAAAAGTCTTTAAAACGGTAGATGATGGAAGGAGACGAAGATTGGATCAGGAGCTGCTGTCAGACTTTGACAAGAGACTGGCATGATACCACTTAGGAGATGATAATCAATGATACCCCTTAGCAATACAAAACAACTTGCATTTCATTCCGTTCGTAACAGCTATCCAGAAGCAACATGTACTAAGCGAGTGACAAAAAGCGAATGACAAAGTGAATGACAGAATAGAATGTTGAGCACCAAGCTCAGCCAACCCTCCCCCTGACCGATCAACAGCCGCAACCACACCTTCCCCTCGATCCCGCCATGCTCATTCGACTCTAACCCCTATTTCGGTTCGACTTCAAACCTCTTAACCAATGCGGGCCTGGAGGAATCGCGGGGCCGCAACAGCCGCATCGGTCTGGTACAAAAAGTGCGCCGGCAGGATGAACAGGGTGCCGTAGCAGACCGCGTCCGCAATGTCGCAGTAGACCTCGGTCTTGGACGTCTCGAAGTTGGGGATGCGGCCCAGGTTCTGCAGGTTCTTGGTGTACCCGAAGAGCACGACGCCCTTGATCTGGTTCTTGATCGTGGTGCTCAGGCCCGAGATGGAGCCCGCCATCACGGCGGTGCCCTGGCTGTAGCCGCCCGAGACGATGGCCGCGTTGGGGCACTTGGTGTTGGCGAGGGTGAAGAGGCGCCTGGCCTCGTTGATGGCGGCCGACGAGGTGCCGTCGGGCAGGAAGTTAGAGGCCAGATCGGCGAAGTAGGGGCCGCCTACGCCTTGGACCCAGACGTCGTTGGCGCCGTAGATTCTCTCCAGGGCGTCGGCGACGATGGGGCCTGCGCTGATTCCCTTTTCGAGACGTTAGAAAGAGGCTTTGAAGACGGGATGAAGGAAGCCTTACCATGTTACCAGGCTCAGTCGAGGCACGGGCAAAGATGTAGATGACCTTGGGGCAGGCGGAGCTGCTGCCGGTCTCGAGCTCGTTGCGGGTGGACGACTGGCGGGTCTCGAGAGCGACGCCGGTCTCAACTTCGACGGGAGCCGCCACGGCAAGGGTGATGGCCAGGGACACGATGCTGAGGAACTTCATTTTGGATGTTTGGGGACGGGGCGTCGTCTGAAGAGAGTGGTCTCTGAGGGAATGTGCTGCGTCGGCTTGGAGCGAAGGGGAAGGCGGAGCTGTCAGTCTGAGCGAGGGCTTGAGTCTGATGATCCAAAAGAAAATCGTGTTTGAGAGGATCGTGAGGCCCTATTTATGTTGTTTGGTTTCCACGGTTGTCATCGTTTCGTCCTGACAGTTGACACTTCATGACAGGCGGAGGTAGATCCGCGAGATGTATCGAGTACAAGATCTGTTGAAGGTGATCACCAGATGAAAAGCACGAGATCTTGCAAGACAACTCATGCAAGCTCAGTGAGTTCACGATGAAGAGCAGATGTCAAAGTGACATGTCAGTTCATCCCATCGAGAACCTTGACGACTTTGATCCTTCACGAGCTTCGATCTATGCCTGAAAGCAGCGACTAACCTAGCTGACCCTGATCCTCAAAATCGCTCGTCAACAAGGTTCCCTCAATCAGAGTCATGGACTCCGTTATTCCTCCGCCAGTCGCATCTTGAAGCAATCCTCATCACCAAGATTCCACAGTCGGTGAGCTGGGCGTTCCAAGGCCCCCGATGCCACGTGAGGGTCGCCATTTCGCAAGTTTCCATCAAATTGGGTATGGTCGGAAGACGCTCCGCAATCCCTCTAGTTGTAGCAATAGCGAGCCAGAAAAAAAGGGGGCAAGCCTCGGGACAAGACCTAGCATCAGAGAAGATAGCTCGAGGTCTGGAATGAGGGGCCTGATGCGGCTTATGGCTGTTTCCGGCGGGTAATTCCTGTTGGGTGAGGATGGCTCTGGTGGTTTGAGCCAACGAGAATCGTGGAAGTCCTTCAATTTCTTCTGGTTAAGGAAAGGACCAGGCATGATGGATGGTACTCCATTTACCAGTCGCCCAGAAACCAACAAAACCCAGCGCAACGGGAAACCCTTGGCCCTGCAAGTCGGCCGGTAGAGATATGCGGCCCCGCAGAACCCCGCAACTCGGCGACGTTGGATGCCTCGGCTCGGCCGTCTGACTAAGTCGTTTTCGGAACGGCTCGCAGAGGTTCCAGGCTTGAACAAGTTCTCAAGAGCTCATCTTCGACGTCTTACTGGTTGGGAGTTGTGAGTTGCGAAGGTCAGCCAAGCAGGGCCCGACCGTTGAGCTGCATGTACAGGTAGGCGCGGAGCGCGTGTGCTACGCCGGCGGCCGGTACTTACCACTTTGAAGTGTGGGTTGTCTGGGGGGCATGAGAGTTGCATGGGATGAGCTAGTCCTCATTGTGTAAAAGTTGCGAATTTCTTTTCCTTGGCTGAGAGTCTCACCAACGGGCTCGCATGCGTACGCGTAAAAGATCTGTACCCCGACATCATGCGACAAGCACGTTTTCACCGGGGGGCTAGAACACTGTGGAGACAATTGATAATGGTTATACTAGTGAGAGAGACGATCACGGAATGATAGTCAGCGACGTTGCCAAGTCAAAGCCGAATTATTGACTGGGCCAGAGATCTTTGCCGTATTTCGTACTGAGACCCCATGATCCACCAGAGACATTTGACTCAAAGGTCATCGACCAGAGGGCTGGGGCCTTGCGGCATACCGATTCTATCCTCGAACATCATTCGAAGAGCCTCCACTCTACCACGATCCGACATGAAGCGAAGGTATTCAGCAGAGTTGGTCGTGTCCATATCCAGAATACCCGGGTAGCCTCCAGGGGCAGTAATATCCTTGCGGGCGCTCCATTGCGACGAGTTGCGCTGGAACTCATCACTCAACAGGAAGTTGGCAAAGAGCTTGGAAGACTCGGGGTGGGGTGCGTCCTTGAAAATGGCAACGAACCTGGGCCAGCTGACGAAGAGTCCCTCGGCAGGAAACGATGCGTTGAGGCTTCCCGAGGCCCGGAGACCGATACTAGCGGTGAACGTCACAGACTGCGTGCTGTTGGGCTGACGGAGGACGGCCAGAGGCGAGCCAGTGCCGCGAACCCAGCGGGGGTTGTTAGCCAAGAGGCCATCGAACCATTCGGGTCCGCACTGATTCATCCTGAAAAAGGTTAGCAATGTTTCTCTTTGAGTGAGTCAAGCATCATACACGAGGTCAAAGATGTATGCGATCGCATCGTCATCGCTCGGGTGCGTCAAGACGATCTTGTCCTTGTACTCCGGCTTCAGAAAATCAGGCCACTCGCGTGGCGGGTTCGCCAGCTTCTGCGTGTTCCAGACGGTCGACCACGCGTTCATGGCAAAGCCGTACTATGCGGCGCGGATGTGTCTGAATGGTGCCAGGACCTTCATGTAGTTTCTCGGCGCGTAGTGTAGAAGCGCTCCCTGAGCATCCCAGCGAGGATAATCCTGAAGCGCTTGGAGAATGATTGTGTCGACTTCGAGAGGCTGGCCTGAAGCGAGCTGCTTGTCGATGTTGACGCTGTGATATTTGGGGCGGTTGACCGTGACGTTGAGTGTCATGCCTGGAAAGCGTGCCTCAAAGGCACCCTTGAGGCCGTCTTGTTGATTCACCTCATCACCGCCGTGCCAGCAGATGACTACTCCGCCTTCTGCGAGGGCGGCTTGGTAGATCTCGTCGATATTGCGGTTCTCGTTAACTTGGGGTGTCTTGAAGCCAAGAGAAGTGTCGTAAGAGACGACATTCTGGGCCAGCAAGGCGACGATGATGGCATGAGCAAAACGCATCTTAGAACAGTAAAGGGAAGACTGGGCTTGTCTGAACGAGTGACTGTGGATGAAAGATTCATCTCATCTTTGGACCCAACCGCATTTATGTCTCTCGAAAGACATGATTTAGGTACCCTCGGCGACCCAAATAAGGCTTGGGAGAACAAAATATCACGATGCTTGGCAGCCGCGTAATATTCAACGTCTTAACACAGCCCCAAGTCCATGTCATTTCCTTCACCAAGACTTTAGCGATGCTCGTTTTCGCGACATGATCAAAACGCCAGGGTGATGGTCCATATTGACGCTGTCTGACCAGTTTCCTGCCAGAGAGAGCTAGCGCCAATCAACATGATGGCTGACGTTCATACCGGTCTTTGCCTTACCGCCGAAGATCAGGTCGGGATCCAACAGATTATACTACAGAAAATTGGCCTTAGTCATCTTGCGCATAGATCTATCCCCCTATCTCGTTACAAGTGTAGACGCGCGCGTGCGTATCTTGACTCGCGGCAGTAGTGCACTTGCGTTAGTCTGTCTACCGGACTTTCCTAATGGGGTAATATTTCGCCTCTGAATACAGAGTTTACAAGTTTCCAACACCGCCTCATTTGACTGAACTCGTCAAGCTTATCCATTTACAGGGCTGTGATATCGTTAAAGGCCAATGATCATGCTTTCTGATTAGCTTAAGGTTATTTGAATGACGGATTTATGATCCGATGCCATGGCACGTGTTGGTGCTTACTTGAAGCCAAGAGCAAGGGTTGAAGGGATGAACAGGAGAAGCCAAGACCTGCACGCGGTGTCTACGCTAGGAACCCGGATGTCTAGTCCTCTAAGATGTAGGATCATTAGAAATAAGCAGAAAGAAATTCAATGAGGAATGATCGATGGTACTCATTCAATCTGCCAGATTGGAGTAGAATGAAAGAGAATCGGGCGATGTTTTCGACGTTGGGGTATTCCTTGCTGTCCGTCGAGGGCACTTTGCGAGTTCCTAGCACGGAGCGGCCCTTATTAGAACGCCGGCCGAGAGCCCGGATGCTCGCTAGAAGTTGATGAGACCGTTTGTATTCTAATGAGAGCTACAATTACTACTTAGGTATGTATTCGTATTAATGTTATTTTCACTGCAGGAATGTTGATCTGCCACAAGGGTCCCTAGACTGTGTAGCCAAGCCTTCAGATAACGAAGCATGGCTCTCTGAGTGAGTATGGGTTCTCGACTGTGGCTCATAGTCTGAACATCTTACTGTCGATTCCATGTGGGGCGGATAATGTCTCAACCGCTCATCCTAGTTACTGCAGTGGCTGCATGATGGAAGAGCTTTAGTGCAGTTAACGAGAGTGGTTCAATTTGGTTCTATGAGATAACAATGAGACAGGAAAAGATTTATCAATTTGTCAACCAAAGAAGTCCGCGATACCGCAAATATCAAGTAATCTTCTAAACCAGATGCCGAGACGCAAAGTCAAACGTTACCTCATAGCACGCACAGTACTTGTCGCTACTTTCCACCTTTTTGTGTGGCAAAATCACGTCTGGGGCGTGTTGCCTCCGGGGTAAGGGACTCTACTTGGGCTGCCTTGAGCTCCATCTCTGTACGTGTAGCCTGGATGAGTGAAGTCTGTAGCATCTGGCTGTACTCTTGGAGTTGTGCTGGAGGGAGCTGCATTCCCGTAACCTTGCAAGTGTGAGCTAGCCGCAGTAGAATTTTGTCTCTGGTGGTGATACTGGTCATCGTGGAACGATTCAGCCTTTCTGTTGAATGAGGGCGACATATCCGACGGTCTACTGTTGGCGGGGGCTGGTCGCTGGCGTTGTCCTGGAGCCGGGTGTGACGGTCGTGAGTCGAACAAGCTTTGCTTCTCAAAAGGCGTATTCTTCCTTGCACGGAGTCGTTGCTGGAATGCCCTGTCGTCACCTTCTGTGCCCTGAATGTCGGCCAAGTACTCGCCGAAGTCGAGGTAGGCTTTCTGAACGATCTTGAAATACTTGAGTTGGAGTGACACTGGGGCGGACTTGTCAATCTCCAAGTTGATCTCTGATCCATTCTTTTGCGCATCGAACTCAGCCAGAGCTAACGCTGTGTGACAAGCATTGCGTATTTGCCGTCCATTCCATCGGTTGTATGGTTGATCGGCAAAATGCTGAATGGCGAAGTCCTCGATTGACGAGATATCGTACGTTATCGTTCGACCCTGATCTTTGAACCTTTTATTAATGAGATCGAGATGGAGTCTAAAGACTTTCAGAGTCTTCAGCTCATCAAGTTCCGGATAGTGAAGACTCATCTGTATCCTTGAGGCAAAGGCTTCGTCGAGGTCACCAATACGATTAGTAGTGAGGAACAGAATGCCTGTGTAATACTCGAGCACTCGAAGGAAAACTGCATAAGAATACTCAGTTAGCTTTGGGCTTGCTGGCATCAGTCATGAAACGATATTATAGGACTCACCCGCCACCAATCCGTTACGTGCGAAGTCATTCTTAGAACGAGCAGCGAGGAATACGTCTGCTTCATCGAGGAGTAGAATGCAACCCCATCTACTTGCCAGTGCAAAGCTTCTCTCAAGATCTTCCTCCACTTCTTTGGCGGTAGTACCTAAATCCCCTAAACCAAACAGATTGTATTATCAGTATTAATTGCTAAAGACGTTTCTAATGTGTGTAGATGGCACTAACCACAAGTAATCTGGAACAGAGGCTTTCGAAAAAGCTCGGCAATTCCTTCTATATTTCGGTCAGAGCAACTGCCCAAAAGAATACTTAAGTCGTTGTACTTCGTTACCCACCCGCAGTAGTTGTCTTGCCGACGCCTGGAGCTCCGTGCAACAACATGATCAAACCCTTGCCTTAGTACATATACTACCGTTAGTGAGTGTCGTAGAATTTGGACGTGAGCTTCGCTGAGCAGTGTAGACAAGTTGCGTACCCTTTCCTTGAATCAGGTCTGTCTGTGCGTCCCTTGTGAACGAAGACTGTCTGTTGCGAAAGTGCTGCGTAACAAGAGATTGGACCAGCTCTCGATGGCCTTCTGGCAACTCGAGTCGCTCGAAGGCATCGATAGTGAGATCCCTCGCACCAGAGTTCTCATATCGTAGCAGAGCCAGGTCAAGCTGGGCTGAAGCGTGAAAAGCATTAGCAAATGCGGCAGAGTCGGATATGTATCGGGTTCAAGTGATAGCAGTAACTCTTACCCCATTTGCGACTCCGGAGAACAAATCCGAAAACCCTGTAACTCATGATGAGAAGCTCTGTCTCTGTAAGCTCATCAATGGAGCTAAGTATTTCCTCTAGAGATCTCGGTGACAGAATGAGGGACCTAGCTCTAGCGTCTGGCACTAGGGATCCGATATAGTCCGTGGTCATCTTCAAGTCAGTGGAGTATCCGTCCCATGTTCCGTGGTAACGGCAGCAACTTGCGTTGCAGTAAGCATGTCTTCGTTCTTCTGGGGCAGTGTTGACAGGGTTAATAGTAGGTTTCCATGCTGCTGACCTCCCCTCGTCTGCCAACGCCTCGCTAAAATCAATGACAACTTGACTGTCGATTTCGTCCCCTTTGTCGAGAGTGGCCCCTGCGTAGTACATAGCCTTAAAGTCCGCTACTTCTAACAGAAGTCGGCCCCTTCGAACGAGGCTTCGCCGTATCTCCGGCCCTTTGAATCGAACGGGATAGATTGGAAGGGACATGACGGGCTTCAGATCGCCGAAGGGAGGAATGATGAAAGCTTTTGGGACAGGACCAAAGTTCTTTCCATCAAAGTCGATAGATGCGCAATGGAGAGTAAAATGAGATCGATCCTTAGTGTCCTGTTCTTCTACGTCGTCGTCCAATCGCTTACTCCACCGTCCCCAAGGCTCTTCGATCTTGTGAACGGGAACCTCAACCCGGAGGACGACGAAGGCTTGCTTTCCGCCTTGCTCTATGACTTCCGTGCCGGGCTTGAATAGGTGCCATAAGTCATGAAAGTTTATGTGACTGCACTTCGGACTCTCCACATCCTCTTTCCTGGGCTTGATTTCATTATCGATGAATTCCATGAGGCTGCGGAGATGAATCAAAGCTGTAATCGAATTCACCAACGTTTTTTCGCGAACAGCAATGTCATTATTCTCGCTATCGGAGTCATCTTCGCTGCTCTCGATGTCCACTTGTGCTTTGTCGGAAGTCGCACCGTTGTTGTCAGTCGGAACACTCTCATGGTCGATTTTGTTCTGCCCAAGATGTTCCGCTTCTACAACCGTATTCTGTTCGGCAACAATAGGTGCTGGCGGCGACAAGGAGTCCACTGAGCTCTCGTATATGGGAGGGCCTCTCTCATTAGTGTTGTTGTCATTTTCGCCACTGACCACAGAGACTTCTGGGACGCCTGAAGAACCATCGAATCCTTCAAAGTCTTTTTCCAAACGAGCAAGCCACTGCCGCAGTGGTGATTCGAAGTAGAACAAGTCTTGGTATGGGCGCAACAGCATAATCGAGGCACCCAAATAGCTCTTCCAGTAGATGTCATTCGTCATTTGTGACATTATGAGCATTAATGGTGCTGAATAGATCTTGATTCTCTCAGGCAATGCTCGGTTTCTGGTTGTCTCTTCATCACCTTCAACATAAAGGATTCGTTCGGCTGGGTGTGATTTGCGAGCTTTTGGTCCGGTGAGTTGCAAAATCATCCGGGGTTCTGGTTCTCCAACGACTACTTCAATCGGGTAAAGGATTGATTCTTCAAAGCGTGTGTCCGTCAGGAAATCATTCCAATCAGCTTGGCTCAGTCTGGCGCGCTCTCCCTTCAAAAAAGCGTTTGTGCTGATCTCCCGCACCTGAATTGATTCAATGGCGTTTTCTTCCTCCTTTATTCTCCTTTCTCGAGCTTCCTCTCGATGTTTCTCCATGTCGAGAATCACCTTGTATGAGTTCCGAATTCTCTGCATGAAAAACATACTATCTGTGAGAAAGTTGACCTCTCCACGGTATCTGTCCCAACGATGAACTCGATTAGGAGACACTGTCGAAAGTAAGGCATCATAATTTCCATGGCCCATTGCTTCTGTCGTTGACTTATGAAGGCCGAACATGATGTCGACGAGACCGATTTTGGACTCAATCTCGTGAAGCCTCTGCTGGAAGTCTTGGACTCTCACTGAATCTTCCATGCGTCTGATGGCATAATTTCTTGTGTAATTCGTTCATCGGCTCCACCTAGGGGCGCTTCTGAGTGGTCAGTTCAACAGCTCTTGGTATGAAATTTGGGAGAGGTACTGTCCAAGGGAGCAACATCATCAGCTTGCATTTTCCCACTCATGATCACTTCTCTCCCCCGAAGTCTATTCCGTTGTTGAATTGTTGTAGCCAGCAAAGATGAAAGCGCTGGGGCTGGCAAGGAAAGCTATCTTTCAGCTGTGCCTACCTTTCGGCTGATGATATAGCTGGCCAGCAGTCTGGCCCCCCTTCCAGATCAGGCTACGTAACCTTAACACGAGGCCGGTCTTCTTTCTCCATCTGATGATGTGGCGGCCGGGCTCAGAACCTCCTGATGACCTATGGACGGATGATGTACCCTCCAGTAGCGTGCAAGTGGGTGGGCATCAGGGATGTATTGGCCTTTAGTGAAGGGCACCGGCGAACGAGAGCGAATCAAGAAGAAAGAAGTGTGTGTGATGTAAATGCATGTCATCAATATATGCAAGCCGTTTCACCAGGCGAAGGAATGGGTGTGCCGCCAAGACTAAATACCTGATTTGTACATTTGTACAACCAGACGGCCTGACATAGCTCCGCAGAAGCCTCCCCCCCTCCCTCCCCGCCCCCCGAGAATCTCACACTCTATCCAAGCTACAGGCAGAGCCATTTATACCCTGCGTTTTACTGGACCCTCTTCTTGACATGCATCTTGCGAATCCAGAAGGGAAGAAGGAGATGTGTCTTGCCTGAATACGCATGAGTCTTCGCTTTGTGATGCGGCTGCTGCACTCGGACTCATCTCGAGCTCGACACGATCTAAATTAACCAACCATGAGCGGGGCTTATTCATCCAACCAGTCATCGGCTCAATTTTTCGCCAGAGAATCCCCCCTTCCTGTCGATTTTATTGAAAATAAACTGTCATCATATCATCCAGCTTTCAACACCGGCAAAACGCTCTTCGACCTTTCGCAGGGACGCTACGTGGCTCTACCAGCACCCTGGGATAAGATGAACGCCACTTTTGACTTGAGCCCTTCATTTGGGAGAAATTTGGGGCTAGCAGCGGAATTTTCACCTCAGCAGTATTTGCCACGACCGGAGGCCTGTGGTGTTCATGACATGGACTTTTGGATGGATATCCTTCCTCGAGCAATGGAAATGATTCAGATCGAAGAAGTTCCCTGCCCAATCACAAAAGCATCTTGGGCCATAAGACATTTTTCAACATGGGAAGACATCCAAAATCAATTGGAAGCCGCTCGGAAACATTATGACTTCTCCGACCCCAACAAACACGTTGGATGGGCTAGGGCTAAGATGCGAGGCGTTTTGGACAAGCATGTTGCTACTCTACAACAGGGTGCGAGGCTGGTCCCCGAGATAGACCTTGCAAAGCCCGTTGTTGGGGCTATCAAACTGGTATTGGATGTAAGTAAAATATGAGGTATGCTGCTGTAATATTGAAGGGTTTAACAACAGTCAAAGGCCTACCAAAAGGCATCCGAAGTCAGAGAAGAGATGCAAACAAGCTTCGAGAACCTAGCTGAAGTATTCGAAGAGATAGACTTCTCTATGCGCACGTACCCAAAGGACCAGAACATTATCGCGGCGTCAACCCGCTTGATTTGCGCGATAGTCATATCTGTGGAAAGCGCAATTGCATTTTACACAAGTCATCAATGTAAGCAATAACCATCTAGTCTGTGTTAGTTGGAGGTCGAGGTCAGGTGCTCACCTAGTCCGAATCCTCGGACATCTGGACTTCCTAATTCATTGATATAGTCATGAGAGCGGCGAGCGCAACCTTCTCAGGATCAGATTACAAAAAGCGGCTTGTTCAGAATCTCAATGATGTCAAAACTTGCTGCGCATCTCTGGAAAAGCAATCGCAGAGATCATTTGCACATCGCGTAACCAACGGTATGCTCAAAAGACCCACAGTTGATGCTGAGCAAACAAGACTGATTATTTGCGTAGAAAGCGAGTATCTCAAGCATCAGAGTGCTCGAATGATGTACCAGCAGCATGTGTCAAGTACATCTTTAGAGCAGCTGGTTGAAAATAGTCTGCGTTGCAATGAGGGTTTAGCAGACTTAAAGAACATCGTTTTAAGTCTATTAAGCGATCGACAGAGTACGTTTTCTGTCAAAATAGTTGAAAAAAGTGGCTAATAGTGACTTAAGATGTTGTAAACGTGGGCCCGCACTCGAGAGTCCCTTCTCCGTTACCACCGCCCGTCACACCATTGTTAGGGCCACCTCGAGAAATCACATCATATTTGCGAATACCTCGAATAGATGACGAAGATATGCGGGATGTAGTCGAGAACTTTGGATTCATAATGCATGGGGACAGCGGGAAGGCGCAGCAACTTCTCGAAAATCGTCTGTTCAGCAGTTGGATGTCGTTTCGCGGGTCGTCAAAGCTGTTGGTGCACGACAATCTCGAACCGCCGTACGATATCACTTCACTTTCAGTGGTATGTACGCTCCTGACGCACATGCTGAGGAGGCCAGGTGGTACCAGCATCAGTCTTGTATTCTTTTGCGGGCGACATCTTGCCGGGGATGTCTACAACGGTGGCTCGGCCATGATTCGGTCCTTGATCTCCCAATTGCTGTTCCAGAGCGGCCTTTATCCTTTTCAATATGATTCGGAGTACTCCGTTGAGGATCTTGAGCGGGACGACATCGAATTCCTATGCGATATCTTCACTTGGCTTATTCGACGGCTGCCTGGTAACTCAAATGTGTTCTGTATAATAGACGGGATCAGTCTTTACGAGCAGAGATTCATGCAAGGCATGGACGTTGTCGTTTTGGCACTGGTAGAGCTTGTGGAGGACGACTATGACGGGCGAGCTTCTCTCAAGTTGCTCATTACCAGCCCACAGCCGACGTACAAGGTTAGGAAGGTATTTGACTCGCATCCAGCGGAGCTTCTTGATATGGAGGAACTACCCGTTGTAGGAGATGGCTTGGGTCTTCTCGGTCTTGGGGAGCGATTGGCATCGGATATGGAAGTAAGGCATGATTTGGATGCGGAATAAGGGTCCCAGATGAGTTCCTCGTTCGGGTCGGAAAACAGCAGCAGGCAAGAGTCAATGCCTGACATGCCATTATTTGCCAGCAAGGGGCAAATAGCCTGTTGTACGGAATTATCGTGAAGCTTCTCATATCTAATCCGCAATACTTCGCCAGTATGAAAGGTACTCACATCGCCATTTGGGCCGACTCGGCGGTCAAGTAATCTGGCGTAGTGGTGGCTAGGTAGAGCCTCAACACTACAGGCAGGAGTTATGAGTTCACTCTTCTTATTCAGCGTCAATAAGAATATCAATGAAAATCCCAGCTTAACATTGAGTACCATTGTATCGAGCCACAATCTTACAAAACACCTTTGGTTATCGCTAGTGAACCTAAACCTGGGAGAGATGCCTCTTTTTGTGCTGCTTATCCACCGATCCAGCAAACACGTACGGTGTTTAATTGGGACATTTGTTTTAACTCTCAAGAATGGCAGTATTGTTTATGATCTTTCTTCTTTTGCCAAGCCCCGCTCTACACATAGGATATTGCTATATTCTACCTGTTCTTCCAATTGCGAATTCCGACACCAGGTACTTTGTGCGGGTGCCTGGATATCAGTCGGAATCTTGGTGGCCACTCATAGTCGCCGTCGGAATTAGTAAGTCAATTAAAGAACGTCGGAAATTTCCCCCTTGACAGCAACATGGGATCTCCGACGCCATAGCTCCACAACCACGAAGGAACAGTTTCGTAATCGAGTCTTGCTGAAGATTTTAAATGATGCTAATTGAGAAGGCGTGAGGATCTACCAAGAGCTCGGGGGAGCAAGAAGCATCTTACAAGACAACTCGGATTCGAACGTACCTCTACAATGGCATACCCAGAAGGAAACAGAACTTGACAAATCATTCATGACGCTAAAAGAGGAGGCTATGGCGTCGGAGGCTTCTGTGTGTATGTATCTACCAACACTCAGGTGGTCTTCAATATATAATTAATTTATGACCAGGTACAACACTGAAGGTGTTCTAGCCGTGATCAAGGCCGCTGAAAGATGTCGTTCTCCGGCTCTAATCCAGTTCTTCCCCTGGTCGATGCATTTCCAAGGGCCTGCCTTCATCAAATTCGCCGCTGAAGCAGCACATGCTGCATCGGTGCCAATTGCGGTCCACCTCGATCACTGCCTAAAGCCGAGCGACGCCGATATGGCATTGGAATGTGCCTTTGATTCAATAATGGTCGATGGTTCTATGTTCGAAGAGGAGGAAAACATTCGATACGTCAAGTCTGTCGTGGATAGAGCTCGCGAAAAGAACATGACCGTTGAAGCGGAGCTAGGAAGGATGGAGGGCGGAGAAGACGGACTCCCGACCGTCGACCTCGAGAGCGTATGGACGGATCCGGATCGCGCCGCCGAATTTATCAAGCAGACGGGGGTTCATTTCCTTGCGCCCAGCTTTGGCAACGTCCACGGACCGTATCCCCCTGGAGGCGCGGAGAAACATTGGCAACTTGATAGGTAAGCTCACAACCAATGCTCCGGTGCCCGCTGGTGCCTGGCTCACAGTCGTGTCGTAGGTTAGAAAAGATTCATGAAGCTCTTGGGGAGGCGACGCCGCTGGTTCTGCACGGCACGCACCCGCTGTCAGACGAAATGGTCCAGGTGGGCATGGCTAAGGGAATGGTCAAGGTGAACCAGAACCGCAACGTGCGCAATGGGTATCACAAGTACTTGGAGGAAAACTGTTCCAAGGTGGAACTTACAACACTGCAAGTCCAGGGAGTTGAGGAGTATTCAAAAGGTGTCGAACGCTTGATGGTCGAGGTGCTCGGGTCGTCTGGTAGGGCGTAGAATTGCACTGCTTCGCTGGAGCGACAGGGCTTTTGGCGCGTTGCAGGTTCAACATAGGGGGCTTCCTTGCCATTCAGAAGGAAGACTGGTAGAATGTAAAGACTATCTTCTCATTTTACATCGGGTTTAAGCAAGATGTACAACATTTCATCTTGGCTGAACAAGCAGAAAATAGACCGTTCAGTGTCTTGAACCACTATGTCATCTTACAGCGTCTCGGGCCTGCGGCGATCGTACCTAAACACGCCCCGGCTGACGCAGTAACCCATCCATGCAATGGGGCAAGCACAGCGATTAAATTCCCGGCCGCCACGCTGCAAATGCGGGGAGACGTCTCTCCTCATCTTCGATCGTTGATCTTGCCCCTTCATTGTCACCGATGACAAACGCATCGTGAACCGGTTGAAGTAACAGAAAGATCTGCATCTTCTATGCAGTAGACAAGCACAATGGAGGATGAACATCAATCAACTCCAGTCTCGACCTCAACCACCAAAAAGAAATACGTCACTCGGTCAGTACCTTACCTTGGTCACACAGCTCTTCTTTCCTTCTTTCCGGCAAGAAATTAATAATGCTGCAGGGCTTGCGAGTCAGTTTCCCGTCCTCCCAGTCTGCGCCTCCTATTCTCTCTGTTTCTGACAGCCTTCAAAGTGCCTGCAAGAAAAGGAAGTCCAAATGCGATGGTCGCGAGCCTTGCCGCCGTTGCCTGAGTTCTGAAATAGGTGCAGCTCGAACACGAGTCTCCCACTTTGCTTCAAAGCTAATCGCTGCGTTGTTCACACCAGAATGCGCTTACGTCTCGTCATACAATCGTGTTCAGAGGCTGAATCCGGTAAGAAGGGCGAAGCGGAGATGACTGGTTCTGCAGACGCTGACAAGGCAAATAGCAACGCCGAGGCCGCGTCACAGCCGGTAAAGCAAGAACATCCTCCAGGACCGCTGCCAAGTCATCGAATGCCAGCGTTGCTTCTCAAAGGACCGGGGACGAAACCCAAGATTCACACAATGAGAATAGACAGTCGATTCCACCAACCCCCGCCCGGTTGACCTCGGAAGGAGATGCCAGTGCTCGTGGCTTTCTTCGCCGCGTCTCGGACCATCTTGCCAAAGTCGGCCAAGGTCTCCCCCGGAGTCTATTCAGCAGAGAACAAGATCTCTTGGATTCGAACGATCCCTCGATCTTCAGCCTTCCGCCCAAAACCATCACTCAGGGATACGTCGATTGTTTCTTTGATCACGCTTCCGTAACATATCGATATGTCTTTCGTCGTGAAGTTTTAGACACATTCGAAAAGGTAGATGCCGACGATCAATCAGTCACAAGAGACCACGACCGGATGGCAGTGTTGTTTTCGGTCATGGCCATTGGGTAAAGTTTCTTCCTCAACACGTACAGGAGTATAGATACTAATCGAAAGTAAGATGCTTATGTATGTCATCCTGGAAGAACGAACCATTGCCGCCTTGGAGACAGAAGTCGTGCATTAATTGACTTTGAGAACCACTAGTACAGCATTCGCTAACTTTTAGATAGATACAAGTTTCTACAGGCTGCGGAAACAAGACTCGCAAAGACTCAAGGTCAATTCCCTCCTTCCTTGAGACACATTCAAGCCGTCATGCTGAAGGTTCGTGCGTTTCCACACATGTCACAGATTTGGCTGATCAGTTTTCAGTGTCAATTCGAAGTGGGATCTGGTCGATTCAACAGCGCCTGGATGTCACTAGGCTGCGCCGTCAGACTAAGTCAAATGGTAGACATCCACCGCGAACAGAAGCTATGTGATCCCATCGAAGGTCACTTCAGGCGATGCCTTTTTTGGGCTATGTTTATGATTGATCGGTGAATGTTATTCCTCCCTCCCTGAAAACTGGAGAAGTAGCTGAACATAGAATTCCCTCGCTACAGATACCTCGCTGCCATTCTCGGTAGACCGATGGCAATACATGATTCGGATGTTAATATGCCGTATCCGCACGCTCTAAATCCCGCCATGGAATGCTATCTTCCAACGACTGAGAAACGGTTACTCACAGGAGTAGTTGCCCACGCTAGGCCAGTATCCTGAAGCTAGTACGTAATTTCGCTTTTCTAACTCTTCCACGCAGACTTACCAAGATATTTGGGCTCGCCATTTCCAGACTTTATCTCGGGGCAGTCCACACGCCAGAGTCTCAAGAGCAAATTGTGACCGAGCTGGAACAAGAAATTAATGATTGGCTCCGAGATACCCCTGACTTCTTTCACCCCCGGCAAGAAAAGGAAAGGGGCGGGGATTAAGAGTTCTACGAAGTTTCGTGGGTGTTGCGGAGGCAGCAACGAACCACGCAGGCTGCGTTTCTTTTCAACAAGATGATGACATACCGAGGCTACCTGCTCCGAGAATTTCTCGACCAGACGCCGAGTACGCCGTCCTCGAGCTCCTGCTCTGGTCGTATCAGAGCATGCGTTGACAATGCCCTTGCAGTGGTGTCTCTTGCGACCAATGTTGGCGCGGATGAATGCAAATACAACGCCGCTTTCTGGGTGAGTAGAAGCCTTCTTGGTCTTACCGAGTGATGTTGACACAGACACAGACAACCTCCCACTTTCTCTTCTGCGCCACATCAATTCTTCTCGTCTATTGCATTATTTATCCAGACTCCGATGACACGGATAAGGTTCATGCGGCGATTGAAGACGCTATGAAGGTGCACCGAGAGCTTGATTATGGCGCTCACATTAACGATCAAAAGCTACTTGAAGTAAGTCTTGGATATTTCTATCTAAGGCTGGATTGGTCGTCTGATGTTTGCAGGAATCCTGTTCGAGAGTCCACATTGTGAGGCACATGAACTCAACTTCGCCAGTCGGCAATGCCGAGGTCGTCATGCAAAGTGGAAATTCCCCGTGGAGCCACTTAGACCAAGTTCCTATCTCGAACTTTTTGACGTCACAGATATTATCAGAAGATCAAATTGTCCTCAACGACAACATGCAGCAGATTTCTGCGCCTACCGCCCATTCTCAAACGAGACCAACCGATATCTCCATGTTTGGAATGTCGGGAACCATAGAATCCAACCATTTACCGCTTGGACAGCCACACACAGGAGACTTTGGAGAGCAACAAGGCTTCCAATTGACTTCTTTTGGATCTTTCAGTGGTTTTGATATGATTATGGACATAGGCTTCGACAATACTCCAAATGCTACGAGAAGGGGACCGGGGCTGGGTTAGCCTCGAAAAGGCAACTGTAGAATGTTCTTATTTGCGTCTTATCGCTTAATTTTCAACCGGTAGACGAAGTGATACCGCCGTCAACCACAATCTTCTGACCGGTGATGTATCTGGATTGTGATGATGCCAAGAACAGAGCCGTCATGGCGACATCAAATGAGTCACCCATCCTGCCCATGGGTACAGCTTTGTTTCTCTTCGCCTTGAAGCCCTCAACATCGCCACCGGCATACTTGTCGGCTAGCATACCAACCAGAGATGTGTTCATGAGACCGGGCACGACCACGTTCATCCTGATATTCTTGGATGCGTAAATAACCGCCGTGGCCTTAGTGAATTGAATGACGGCGGCTTTGGTGGCGGCATATGCAACTTGGGGCTTGCCGATATACCGCAGACCGGCAATCGAGGCCACATTTACCACAGCTCCTGAACATTGTTTCTCCATCAGTGGAAGAATATGGTGACAGCAGAGGTAGACAGACTTGAGGTTGACATTGGTCTGAGCATCCCAGACCTTCTCTGTCATCTCAGCGGGGCCACCAGGCTCTGATCGGCCAACGTTGCTGGAAGTTTGTTAGCACATATCCTCCTCAAGCGAAGGGCTCAGTGGCCATAATTGATCAGGATATCGATGCGGCCGTATTTGGCTAAGCACGCGTCCACGGCCGACTTGACACTCTCGTCATTTGTGACATCAGCGGCCACAACGGTCACGTCTCCGCCCTCAGCAACAATACGCATTTGCGTGTGTTGGGCAGGCTCCAGGTAGAGATCGCAGCCGAAGATCTTGGCTCCTTGCTTGGCTAGGAGGCGTGTCGTGGCGGCGCCATTCCCCCACATTTCCTGATCGCCTGACTGCCCAATACCGGTAACTTTTCAAGTTTTCATACCAGGTCAGTGTGGTCTCTGGGGTTTCTTTTTTTGTAAGAATATAAACTTACGGAAGACAATCTTGTCCCTAAGATCCGGGTAGGAGGCGATGACTATATCGTCGTGGGTGCCGTTTTGAGCCATGATGACAGCGATAAGAGGACACAATGCAATATGGAGATCTGGATTGGATGTTGAAAGATTTCGATCTCTTGAACAGTCTTTATACGTAGGCGGCACCAATCTGTCGCATATACGCTCTTCCGGCGATGATGAACGAGGGGGCCCCCAAGTATCCCGGCCTCGGAACAGGTTCGTCAGAAAGCCTCCGCCAAAGCAGTTGTCTCATGGCTTATCAGTGAGGTAGAAGACTTTTCTTCGGAATTTTCTAGCTTAACAATAGCATTGTCACAGTGTGGGCTCAGTTGATTTCGTCGATTCATCCAGGCAGAGGTCAGTTCGGTGAACAGCCGTCTCTCCCGGCAACGGTCTGGGATGCCTTGTTCACCACAATCGGCTGATGAATATGTCACACATAGTTTAGCTGTCCCGAGTATTCCTTTAGAGCCGATCCGCGATGAGTTCACCTCATCAAACAAGATTCCGCTCACAACAAGATTTTCCGACATCTCCGATGAGTCTTCGGAAAAGATAGCTACCTGAGAATTACGCCCGAGACTTTTTCCGACAACGTCCCAATCCCGACCTGTCATCGGAGTATGCGCAACAGTCCGAAAGACATTGGCTACGATGCCAGCAATCATCAGAGATGTTGCTCCCTTGTCACTATCTCTCGGATCAACCCCACGGGGTGCTCGAAGCCCCGGCTTGCTGGTCCACCGCTTTACCGGGATTGCTCTGGGGTAGTCAATGACAAGGACTTATTGAGACTGGATGAGAACTACAAAATGCCGTCGTCCCATATCCTACATCTCCATCATCGCACTATGTGTTGAAGCGAACTTACCTCATCGCCCTCTTGAGCCGTTCTAACACTCTGCGACGCATTCACGTTTTGACTCTGTCGACCGCTGATTTCACACAACTTTGTCTTCGAGATGTCGGAACGACGACCCGAGGCTGTCGAGCCCATCTTCGATGCGGCTTCCAACGTTGACAAAGGGAGCGATTTCGTCCACCAGGAGATAGCTGACGAACTCAGTCCGGAAGATCAATCATTCCTTGACAACTTCCCCGAAGACCGGAAGAAGAGAGTAATGCGAAAGGTCAGTTCCTGTTCTCTTTAAGTGCTTTGAAGATTAGTAGTTGACCCCCTATTGATAGCTCGATTGGCGTCTGGTTCCACTGCTGGGGCTGCTCTACCTGATTTCGTTCCTTGACCGAGCCAACATCGGCAACGCCAAGATCGAAGGCCTGCCCGAGGACTTGAATCTCACGGGACAGCAGTACAATATCGCCCTTTGTGTTTTCTTCATAACATACATCTTGTTTGGTATGGCAACTAGTCAGCCTTCGTCACAGCTTATTTGCCGCTGACACTTCATTTACTTCAAAAGAGGTACCAAGTAATATGCTCCTCTTGAAGTTCAAGCGCCCCTCAACCTACATGGGCATTTTGGTCACAGGATGGGGCACTATCATCACCATGACCGGTCTCGTACAGAACTTTGAAGGTCTCGTCGCAGTCAGAGTCCTTCTTGGTGTGTTTGAGTAAGATCAAGCTACATTTTCGGTCGATTTTGAATAGCACATACTGAAAATGTACAATCACCAGATCCGGCTTTTTTCCCGGGGCGGTCTACACTATATCGAGATGGTACCTCCCACACGAGACCCAAACGCGAATCGCAATATTCTATAGTGCCAGCGCTCTAGCCGGCGCTTTCTCCGGCCTTCTTGCATTTGTCATCGTGCGGATGGATGGACTCGCTGGCATCGCGGGCTGGCGGTGGATTTTCATCATCGAAGGGATCGCTTCCGTCGTCGCTGGCGTTGCGACCTTCTTCTTACTTATCGACACACCTGCCCTGTCAACAAGGTGGCTGGACGCTGACGAGAGAAAGTACCTTGAACTGCGTCAGTATGCAGTCCAAGGCAACAGCATACGTGTAAGAGAGGCTGAGAAGACGCGCAAATGGGAAATCCTCCGCTCCGTTTTGCTCGACTGGCAACTTTACCTACAGGCCCTGGTTTACTGGTCTAACACAGTACCGAATTTTTGGATGAAATTCACGATGCCCCAGATTATTAAAAACATGGGGTACACCAGTAGCAACGCCCAGCTTCTGACTATACCTCCGTACATTGTCGGAGCCATTTCCGCCTACATCTCCTCGTCACTCTCCGATAGGTTCAAGTGGCGAATGCCTTTCATTGTCTTTGCCCAAGTCTTGGTTCTGATATTGTTTGCTATATTGTTCCCCAAAGCGGAAAACATCCAAGAGAACATTCCGGCCTGCTACTTCGCCATCTTCCTTGCCAGCATTGGCTTCTACCCAATCAACCCTAGTGGAAATGCTTGGACCGTCAACAATTTAGCAGGACCTACGAAGCGTGCTCAGGGAATCGCCTATATGATCTGTTTAGGAAGTATTGGTGGTATTGTGGGCAGTTTCATCTATCGCGAGGACGAGAGCCCGAAATACCCGACAGGGTTTGGTTCGTCATTTGCATTCGCCGGGCTCGGTGTCGTTGCTTGCTTGGTGTTAGAGTTCCTATTCTGGAACATCAACCGCAAAAGAGACAAGTCTAATGAGAAGGAGATCAGGGCCAAATATTCGGATGATGAGCTCCAAATGATGGGAGATAGGTCACCTCTTTTCAGGTACCACCTTGTAAGGAAGACACTTTGAGACATGATGTCGACTGTGGCTCGCTGGCCCCAGCTTCACGATATCCTGGTTTTCTTGCTATCCGGGCCAGCACTTCCAGCTAAACAGGCATAAAACTATCTTCATTTCCATTGAGCGTTCATGTATCCCTACTGCTAGATTTCTTCCAGGGGAAAAGATATTAAAGTTCCGAGCCTTTCTACTGTCCTTCTCGTCGTCATCGGCGTTGCTGCTGTCGTCTTCATTGCTGTCGTCAACGGCCTCTGGTATAATTACTGACCGTCCATATGGCCAGAAGTACACGCCCACAGTGGGAAACCTCTTACAAGTTGCAGACTCGACATGGAACATCCTGCAATGGAACTCAATTCAGAAACACGTAATCTCCTCTCGAAGCTTTTCACGATGACAAGCTCGCTACTCTAGATGGTACAATGGTTCCAGCTTTGCATCCTTCTGAAAGAATAGATATCTGTTCACCACCCAAGGAAGCCATGTGCGAACCTGGTATGCTGCATGGCTACGGGTAGGAACTCCAAAGATGTAGTCAAGCTCTTCCAGGGTGCGTTGTCTGTTGAAAGGTGTTAGCATTAAGTTCGCGAAGAAAGGCGAACAGTCACTTGCTTGGTTTCCGGGATGATGAAGAAGATAACGATGAATGCCAGCAGGTTCAGTCCCGCATAGAAGCAAAATGCGCCGGTCGGTCCGATCTTGTGAAGAAGTTCGGGAAACGACAGCGTGAGGGCACTCCCGACGGCGTTGTTCACACAGATGGTGAAAGCCGAGCCAATCTCGCGATGAGATAGCGGGAAAGCTTCGGAGAAGTAGATCGATGGTAGTGGACCGATTCCTGGTGATCGTGAGCAAACAATGATATGGATCTGAGTCAGAGAGATCGGGCACTTACCAGGTCCGTACATCGCCGTGAAAAGGTAGATGAAGAAGGCGATCAGTGGCACCCTCGCGCTTGACCCTGTGTTCAGCAAGAAGCTCAGCCCAGCTGCTAGGAGGCAAAAGGCCATTGATGGGAACGTGGCCAGCAAGAGGTTCCTTCTCCCAAACGTGTCCATCATGTATACAGCCGGGAATGCAAAGACGAACATAATGAGGCCAAAGCCCATTGAAGCCAGAAGGCAGTCTTTATCTGAGTAGCCTGCTTGCTGAAAGATCGTAGAGCTGTAGAACGCCATGATGTTGATGCCTGAGAACTGCTGAGAGATGACGATCCAAGATGAGGCGACGGTTGCTCGACGCAAGCGGGGCACAGTCAGGAGTTCCTTCATACGGCGGAGGAGTGTCTGTCCGCCAAAGGCATTGTTCTCCTCGATGACTTGCCGGTGTGCGTAGTACAGGTCACGGGCAGCCATCATCTCAGTATTTCGGATTCGGCAAAATGACTTGAACGACTCCTGGTATCGACCCTTTTTCATGAGCCAGCGTGGAGATTCCGGATAACTGTTAGCCCATATACTCTTGGAAGTTGATGACAGTCGGTCACTTACCTGGACACATCCATACGAAGATAAGAACAGGAATGGCGGGAGCAAAAGCAGCAGCTAGCTGGAACCGCCATGCAAGATCTCCAATGCGGTACCAGATCAGGTTGGAGCAGAAGCCAATAAAGATACCAAAGGCAACCCACAACTGGAAGCTCGTAACGATGCCTCCACGAATCGCAGCAGGGGCAACTTCGGCTGAGTAAATCGGGATGGTTGAGATCTTGATGCCCATGCCAAGGCCCATGAAGAGCCGACAAATCATCAAACCCCACCAGTTCTGCGTAAAGGCCTGAGCGAGCACTGGGAAGACGCAGAAGAGGCCAGTGAGGAAGATTGTTCCGCGGCGTCCAAGATAGTTGTTGATTGGGTCCGCTGCCCAAGCACTCAGCAGACCAAACAAGGTTGGACCGGCGTTGATGACTCCAACAAGCGCTTGATTGTTCTCGATGCCGAACTCCTGAGGGAATGAGAGGTTGGCGCCATTGGCACCTGTGTTATCCCAGCCTTGGATTGCGGAGCCGAGAGAACATAGAGCGATACTGTAGTAAAGATCCTTGGGAAGATGCCATTTATGCGTGACCTCGCGGCGAAGGACATGCTTATCGTCTTCGGTGAGATCGTCGATACTCTCATAATTCTCAGGGTTTTGCGCAGCGAGCGCCCCACGGTAGAAGACGTTCTCCTTCTCTTCGAAGCCAAACTCACGACAAAAGCCGGTAACTTGAATCCTGAGGTCTGAACTAGAGATGCCGATCAGAGGATTGCGGATCCTATGGCTGGAGGTTAGCTTCATCTCAGCATCTCAAATCTTCAACCTCTCACTTTGCGTTGATATTCCGTGAATAGTCGGCACCACTGTGCTCGACATGGCTCACATCGAGCTTGGACTTCACATCGCCCTCGACGTCAGAAACACGAGACATGATGATACTCTTGGTGTTGAACGAAAAGCAGAGAAATCATTGAAGACAGCCGTTGATAATGCTAAGTTTTCTACCTCGTGAAGTTAAAAGTCCACGGAGGCTCTTATATAACCCACTCCAACTCTTCCGAAAGCATCCTTGCCCACTTGTCGTCCCCTCCCCCATGGGGTAAACTGGAGCTCGCTCCCGAGTGTTCGTCACCAACGTCAGACTGACAAGCATCAATCGGCTGTTGAACGGGTGTTGCGAATCCTTCGGCCCCTTACCCCGTGACCAAAATCTGCTGTCGCAAATGGCCTGCGCAGGGGAGTGTGTGTGTCCATGAACTGGACGGGTTGGAAGTCTTGGAGACGAGACTAAGACGCACTAGTAGATTGCCCTGTACAGGCGCTAGCTTCTTGTCCCGTGCAGGACATCATGGATGAGTGCCGGTTGCAAACCTTGTCGTCTGACTTCTTGGACCTGCCCAGTAGCTCTGAGGCGGCAATCGTTCACCGAGGTGGGGTAAGATGGCACGGCCAGCATCATAGCTCCCTGAGCTGTTTTCCGGGTTTGTCACTTGCATCTGCGCAATACTACCTGCTCAACTGCCCCTGAACGCATTCGTGAAATTCTGCGAGGCTGTTGGGATCTACCTCAAGAGGGAAGCCGCCACGCAAGCTGTCACACCACTGGTCAGTGTTTGGGGGCAGGAAATAACATGGTGGTATTCCGGGACATTTACCCCAGAGTATCCTCTTTGACCCCCACCGGTCTCCAATGTGTGATCAGACGATGACCGGGGTGCACCCCAGAAGGTGCGGGGTCCCAAATGCCCTGCGTGTGTGCTCTCGCTGCCCTGTGTGTGGCATCCTGAGGGGGCTCTGGGGATGTCTCATCATTGGCCAAGTGATTCTCGGAATGGACTCGTTGAGAGGCCCGATGACGAAGAAAACAGACACACGCAGGGCGTCGTGTGTTCGTCCTGTACAGGTCCATAAATCAGACGGGCCGGTGGGGTGAGGCATGATATTAAAGGAGCTATCTTGTACGTATTCTAGCAGTCTAGATGGGCAAGCTCGAACAATTCGATATCGAAACCATATCTCCAATTACAACGAAATCTCAATTGCGAAACTTTACACGATGGGAAGCAAAGGCGCCATGACTTGGCTCGACAAGCTCGAGGAGCAGCGTGCGTCACATAGCAATGTCCTCATGCCAACGCCCACGTGCTAACGTGAATAGTCAACGTTGACGTCGACTGGATGGACCCTGAGTACATCAAAAGCATGCCCATCGTCCCTCACGACCAGACCAGCAACCAATTGTGGGTGGATATCCAGCTCGGTGATGCTTCGAACAGGGACATGTTCCTCGAGACTGCGAAAGAGCTGAAGAATGAGGGTTGGCTTGCGATCTATACGCGCATGGTATGTCGACCACAACGCACTCAGTAACAGACTACAGGGCTGATGTAGAAACACAGGCCGTCCTCATGTGCAAGAAAAACATCAACTCCATTCGCGGCCGTGTCTTGCTGCAGACCCTTCCCTCAAACGCGTTCAAGACGCAGGAGACCCTTGACCACGCCCGCCTCTACGACCGTGAGTTTGCCCGCGCAGGCATCGGACGCGATAGATATTGCATCAAGATCCCCTCCACCGGCCCTGCCCTCAACGCTGCCAAGATCCTGTCTTCTGAGGGAATCCCGACGCTGGGCACAGCCCTCTTCAGTCTCCCCCAGGCCATCGCCTGCAGCCAAGCAGGCATGCTGTACATCAGCCCGTACTATAATGGTAAGTTTGCGCATGAGATGCACGTGGAGTGGCGCTGACTTGAGAACCAGAGGTGAGAGCTCATGACGAGCCAGACACTCTCTGGCCCAACGTCGAGGACCCTGCGACGCAGCACCCCATGTCCGCCCGCATTGTCCAGATCATCGAGACATACAAGCGTCTATACAAGGAAACCGGCAAGGAACAGCCTTTGGTAAAGAACGCCAGCTTCATCTCCGCGAAGGAAGCCATGGCAGCAGGCGAAATGGGCTGCCATTCCGCCACCATCTCACACATCGTCCTCGACCAGCTGGCCAAGCTTGAGTACGATGGTACCAAGCAGCCCGGAGAGGGTACGCCCAAGCCGGTGCACGTGTACAAGAACGCCGGGCCTTGCCCTGAGCGTCTCAAGAAGCTTGCCAATGTCGACCCCTTGGCGGCTGCTGAATGGGACGGCAAGCTCGCAAGCGCCGACATTGACTACCTGGCCAATGAAGGTGCTGAACTGACGAAGGCTATTGAAGCTGACCCCATCTCCACGACCCGCCTTGCAGATGCCCTAAAGCTCTTCATTGGTGGTGAGGAGAGAAGCAAAGCCAAGGTCGAGGAGGTCCTAAAGCAGATCTAAACTGCGATAGCGTCACGTACAGTAGCGTGAGCATATGATAGACCCTGAATAGATCATCCTGGCCAAGAAGCCCATTGTTGTTGCTGCTGCTGCTGGTGCTGCTGTTTCTGCTGGAAATGCAAGTCTTGATTCGCGACCGATGGCCCGAGAAAGGCAGGCGAAATAGGTATCTGTGAAGGATCCATACCGTCGAACGTGGGCGTCCCAGTCGATGAGAAGTCCATGAGCATACCATTTTGATACATTCCTTGCCGATCATGATCGATTCCTCTCAGAAGCTGGTAATCATTGATGTTCGCATTTGAAACAGGCATGGACTCTGACTGGGCGTTGGATGACATTGCTGTGCCCTGGTCCGGCATGGCTAAGCTTTCCATAACTGTTCCTGAAAAGATGCGAACCGACGGTGACTCGGTTTCTTCTGGCCAGGATGTATCAAGCAATAGATTGTTCAATTCTGATACCGCGCGAGCATCTTGTGTGGGCTCCGAAGGTAGAACTCGAGGGACCTGAGCGGCTTCGTCTGTCTGGTTGTTTGTCGATGACCCAGCCTGCGAGTGTTCGTCGGTAGGCCCGCCAGACTGCTCAGAGCTCTTCCTGGTCGGGCGGCCCAATTGCAAGGCGACGCGCCGTCGCAACTCTCTCTCTGTCTCGGCAAATGCGTCCATATTGACGTTGAGTGGCCTTGGCTGCCGCATCAGGGCGCCATTGTTCCTCCTCCAATTATTCACCTCGTCCAGGAGCTCCTCACGCTCTTGTAATAAAGACTTAATACACTGGAGCGCATCATTACATCTACTCTCTAAAAGCTTATGCCGAGCAATGCTTTCGTCGATGACCACATGCTTCGAGAGGCGCTGGGGATCGGTGTCCGCTAGAGCTGGTAGATTGGCAGCGAGCTCCTACAATCGATTGGCATCAGCAATTTCGGTCTGGATGGTTATTATCCGCGAGAACAACATACAATCAATCGCTCTTTGAAGGCTTCGCGACGGCCCTTCTCGAAGATCCGATGCGCAGCTCGGTCGTCGGCGGTAAAGTTTCGAACGCGTTTCTTGGGCGCCTTTTTGCTCGGAATCGTCTCCGGCGGCGCGGTCGCAGTCGGACCAGGCGTAACTGTGTCTTGCGCGGTCGTGTTCATGGGGGTCAATCACCGTCCGCGGCGGTTCTTGATGAAGCGGTCTTCCATTCAGCAGATTCGGGGATGGTTGTGGTGCGAAGGACGCAGGTTAGAGCTCGGGAGGAAGCTCTGATGTATCTGCTGGATCGGGTCGAAACACACAACGAGAGGGGTCCTCGTGGTTTGTTGTTCAGGTGAGGAGTAAGGCCGTCGTCCGATCGATGACCGAGGAAATGAAAGCGTCCCTGTGCCGCAGCATTGCCTGCAGCTCTTCTCAGGGATCATGGCAGTGACGAGCCCCTTGTAAGACGAGCTGCTGAGACCCCGCACGCATCGAAGCTGAGCTCCTCCAATGCCTAATTGAGTATGCCGCCGGCCGAAGCTTGGCGCCTAGCTTCATCGACCTTGTCCGTGTCTGGGGCTCAATCCACATTCCACAACCGGTGAGGGGTTGATGAACAAAGAAACAGTCATTCATCGAGCGTGAGCCCGTTTTTCCTGCCCATCGGACGCCGACCGAGCACGAAACCGGACCTCGGAGGACCCTTCGGCGTCGGCACGGCCCCGCTCGGCTCAAACACCGCGCGGATCGTCATTGGGCGGTCCGGCTGAACTTGGAACGCGCAATACATGTATCGTTGAAGTCAGATGGCAGGCTATTCAAATCCATTGGGTTTTCTATTGACTTCTCGGGTATTCTCAGTCTGATATACGGGGCACCAGCTGAAACAGCCCTATTCAACTTTCATCACCCGCTTGGCTGCAACAGTACGAGATTGCGAGCCATGGGCAGCAACTATTCGTGACTTACTCGCGGCCGAGAATTCTCCATATGTTGTCCGCGGCAACTTCGCCCGTCTCATATGCTCCATGAACACAGCCCGTTCCGGTACGGGAACAGTGCTCACCGGCAAACTGTAGCCGCGAGTCCTTCTCAGCCTCCAATGCATCCCATAAAATTCGCGGGTCGTCTCCAACCTTGGCAGTGGAGTATGTGCCGTTGCCGGCAAACTCGTCCTTCGTCCAGGAAGTGACCTTTGCATCCACCATCTTCGGAAGCGATTTGTATGGCTCGGTTCTGAACAACTCCAGCAAGGGCTCAAAATAGGCAAATAGCTCATCCGGATTTCCGCCCATGGATTCAATCTCGTAAACAACGGGAGGAGATAGCAGGATGCAAAGTTTCTTTGCGCCGGTCATGACCCACAGGTTGGTGGCCGTGAAAGAGAAGGAAAGAACCGGGTATTTGTTCTTCTCACTATCCTCGTCCAAAGTAGCCGGTGTCGGGAAATACACCAAGTTGTCGTTTTGCTTGGACCAGAAGACGTCTGTGAACTCGAAGAACACTTTGCCCAGTGTACCATAGCTGGTCCTAGACATGCCTCGGGCGATACTCTTCGGAATGGAAGGCTCAAACATGATCTGATTCTGGTGCAAGACACCAAGTGGGACGGTCACAACAACAGCGTCACCGTCGAAAACGACGAGCTTCCCA